ACGACCTGGGTATATATGTATGAATTTTATTTTCAGTAACGGGGTCATTACCAATTTTTCATCTTTACTATTATGTAACGTCAGTTATACAAATACTTGCAGCTGATTGGGATTATGATCAAATTGTTCGATGTCGTTGGTCATATCAATATTCATTAGATGAATGTGGAAGTACATGTTTTGATCTACCTAATGCTCAATTAAATCCAGTAGATTGTGCTATTACATGGACACCTGTTCTTCGATCTGAAGATATAGCTAATGGTCTAACTGAATCAACATATGTAGTTGCAATAACAGCTGAAGATTTTGTTAATGCGTCAAGTATTACACCTCTTAGTTCAGTACCACATCAAATATTGGTTCATGTTTCTTATAAACCTGTCAATGCTTGTTCAACTAAACCTACTGTTTCGGGTTTTCCTCGACGTAATCTAGCATGCTACTGTAAAATAAATATATTACAAAAAAGTAGTATTTTATTGATTTTATATTTCTAGATGGAACACCCAATTCAACATATGATTATACTTTCTACGGTAAAATTTATTGTCTAAACGATTCAATTGTTGAGTTTATCTCAACGTCACCATTCCGTGTACAAAAAGGAAATATATATCAGCAGAGCAATTATACTTGGGCTATCTCCGTCATATGGACTCTACCCAACAATCAAACAGGTAGGTATATGAAATTAACGAAGATTTTCTTAACACTGTTTATTTTTATATTAGGTCTTCAACCATTTTGTATAGCAGCTGTGGATAACAATGGTCAAACAAGTGATCAACATTGTGTGATGATTGCTGTAGGGGCTAGCAATCCGTATATAATTACTCCGAGATTTGTTCAAAGTACGGCCTCTCCTCTCGGCACTGTTATGGCTACACAGTCGCGTTTTAGTATTGAAATTCAAAGTAAGGACTTTTCTACAATATCATGGCGAAGATATATTGAAATTTACATATATGAAATGAAAATTATTTACTTTATTTTATAGCAACATTACCACTAAGGAGAACAAAGCTTGCTGGAACCTATATCTCTATATATCCAATGGATAATGGGTCTCTTGGTTATACGATTGATTGCAAATATTCACCTGATGTTTACTTTCTAAATAAAACAATAGTTTTTTTTCATTCAAAATCCATCATGGACCTTAGGTGCTACATATTACGTAGCAATGACTGAGGGTGTAGCTACTGCTGATCAATATTGTGGTGTTGAAGCTGGTTCTTTTAGTGGTAAGATATTTTGAAGGAAAATGTTAAGTATTTGTTCATTTCTTTTTTTTTACTAAGGTTATTACAGCTGGAGATTTACAATATGGAATCCAGCGATTTCATCAACAACGACCCCTTCCACTACAACAACCACAGCAACGACACACACAGTGACTACTCGGGTAAATGTTTATTTATTTATTTTCTATTAACGTCATAAAAGACAAAAAGTTAACGTAAATGAGACAAAAAGGAAAAGAGCTTCGTTGTTGTCATACATAAGTAAGAAATCATGTCAGTGGTCAATATGCTGAATGAAAAAAATTTATAATTAACTAAAGTTGAATTTAATAGAGGTTGGATCTAAATCATTGATAATCTAATATATTTTCTCAGAAACAGATATATTTCTTAATAAGTCTTTATATAAAATGTTGAGTTTAAATTCGAAGATTATTGTACAAAGCTATTGTTCGATTTCTTCAAAGTTTATACAATCATCAAGGCAAATGTTAAAGTTATCAGTAATCGATTTATTATCGATTTCAAACAGAATTCAGAGAGTTTTCTGTTCTAAAGCAACCTAAGAACATTCACGAATCTATCATGAGAATCTTCTTTCGGACGAATCCTACAATTTATCTAAATGATTTTATTTCGCGTGAGAAGATCCCCAGGTGTATATCACTGATCGAGCTGACATTTTTCTATAAGTGAAGTCGTAGGAGACTAGTAGAAACCTAGCTCGGCTCATTCTCATCTTTTTTCATTCTCGATTTATCATTGTTTTGCTAAATTTTTCTTTAAACTCTGGGAAAATATTCATGAAAAACGTGAATGACAATATTTCAACATGAAATTTCGTCGACAGAAGTTTTTTTCTGATCAAAAGAATATCTAAAAAATAACCAAAGATGAGAAAACAAAGTTTTTAAGATTCGATATTTCAAAAAGAATATATTCTTTTAGGAAAATTCTAATGATCAGGAAATCTATCTACGGAAAACATTTCAAATTGAAATAATATCATTCAATTTTAAGCAATTTTAGTAAAATAGTTTTCGATTGGGAAGGATAACACATGAGGATGAAACGAGATAGGTTGCGATTAATTTCATCAGATTTCACTTATGGAAAACAATCCGTTCGATTAGTGATTTACGTTTGTAAACCTTCTCTTGTTAGTAATCTTTAAACTGAAATATTCATGAGCACATTTTCTCATAATGGAACATTGTAATTTTCTATGAATCATACAAGAAAGATTTTTATACAGATGAAAACAATATAACTTGGAGTATAATTTTAAAAGCGACAAGGATAGACTTCGTAGGAGCTTGCTAGTCGTATACGCAAACCATATTTGTTTTTGGAAAGAAACTTATATGATTCAAACCGGACAAAAATCGCCGATAGTTTGATACTTAAACGATCGACTATTGTATGCGTGACCATTATATCGCAATATACCCATCGTTGTTCCAAAATTGTTAATTTGCTGTCAGTATACCTAGTCGATATTTATGGATACCGCACCGTATACTGACGGTACTATAGAAATAAACAGTATACAATCATACTGATTCACGTTGATTAATATGAAACGTCTATTTTAATATTTTTCTTACTTAAGTAAATAATTTTTTCTTTCGTTTTATAGTTTCTGGGTACTACAACATATAATACACATTATACAACAACTGGTATTCCAGCTTATACAACATCAACAACAACTTCAACAACATCGACAACATCAACTTCAGCGACAACAACAACAA